ATCACCTAGATCACCTAGATCACCTAGATCACCTACCGTCAGGAACCAATAATTTTTCCAACAAAGGGGTAGCACAGGGTCCTGTCTGAGTAATGTTTCGTTGCCCTGGGAACAGATATCGATCCTCATCTCAAGCGCAAGTCCGCCTTTGCAGTCGGCCGATAACTACACTCGACTCCAGTTCCCTCCACACTGCTTCGTGCCCACTTATCCCTTTCCTCTCTTTCAACACCCACTTCAGCAATGTCCGCAGCTCCCGCGCTCAAGATCTTTTCCTTGGCAGAGAGCAGCCTGGCCTCGCTCCCTGTTCACTTCGCCTTCAATAACTCATTTCGCTGTCGTTCAAAATCCATCAGTCGCCTATGCCTCAGCTGCTCTTCTTCTTCTTCCCTTTCAGTTCTACCCCTCTTGCTTTCCCTCAGGAAGGATAAGAAGCCTTCAGTTGTTCCCCTCGTAGCCCGGACCTCCGGTTGGGTGGGGGAGGAGAGCTCCGATTGGAACTCTGGGGAAGGGCTTGAGCCTCCTGATGGGGAGTTTTCTGAGGGAGATTTTATGGCTGAGAGTGATAACACAGTGGATGAAGGTTTTGGGGCAGATGACGGGGAGGATTCTTATCCCGAGCTGCTTGAGGAGGCCAAGCTCTTTGTTGGCAATCTCCCTTACGATGTGGACAGCGAGAGGCTTGCTCAATTGTTCGAGGGAGCTGGGATAGTAGAAGTCGCGGAGGTAAATTTGTTCGCTTTTAGACGCCTCTCTAAGGCTCTGTTGGCTATAGGGAATCGAACGATAGTGAATGGGAAGAAATTGGTGATGTTAAAGGAATTGAATTTAAATGTGCTTTAACTCCCTTGTTTGTTTGAGGACAAATTGAGTGGAAAGTATTTTTTTTTTTGTTGGAATGAGTAGCCAATAAATGAAAGAATGAGCGCATCTAATGATACTCACAACTCACATTTTCTTAAAAATTTTACGGATTCAAGCAGAGATCATTTAGAGAAATGCGCATAAGTTTAAATTTTTTAGTAAATCAATTGATTATGAATTACACCTAAACTTAATTCTCTTAAACACAGACTCAATGCTACTCTCAGTGCAGTTTTTTTTT